CGAGTATGTATAAGAAAGAAATTTTTTGCAAATCTACATAAAACAGTGTTACACCAATATTTTTATTTTAATTAATATCTACTATTCACTAAATCTCACTGACGAACCCCCCCCCCCCCGTTCTAAACAAATTGACATAAATGTACATTCAAAAAATCATCATATAATCCGTTAAGAAAATAATCAAAACGAAAACAAATTTTCACCAATAACTAATATTATATTTACATAGGTATATTATACTCAATAAATGTTCGTTTGGATAATACTAGTCTTAATGCTCACAATTTTATATTTTTATCACAGCATTGCATATAGAATATAAAATATGAAGAACGCAAGGAAAATAATAGGTGTATTGTACATATTTCTATGAATTATTTACTGGTTTTACGCAAGCGTGTAGTCAGAAATATGGTTTAGGTATAGATATATTCGATGTATTGTTATTTAAATTAGTTTTGGGAGCTTTCAAGACCGTGTCCCTTTCTCTATATTATAGCCTATTAAACTTCCCCTTTTCTGTTATGATACGAATATTTGTTGATGAATATCTTAACATTTTCAAGAAATGATCTAAATTAAAAATCAGTATTACCTAAAATATAATTTACCTATAATTTACGGACAAAATTTATATGCATGGGATTTGGATGAATAGCCTAATCAATAACTTTTTTAAGTGTAAAACATTTTGAAGGTTTCATATTTAACACACATAGTAATTAATTTAAAAAAAGGTGGTATTAATTGCCCTGACTACACCGCAAACACTATTCCCATCACGGGAATCAATTAACTTACCTACATGTTGAAACATTAAACTATATTTTCCCTTGTGTATATCTTTATGAGGATAGTTTAACCAGTGGTAGATAGATATTAATTATCTCTAATTTAACGTCTAGTGGTAAATGAATATTGGAAAAAGGTTTTAACCAGTTATATCAAGCCCGTTAAATTTATTTAGGCAAAAAGTTAATTCTTTAAAACAATCAAAATCAGTGCTTTTGCAATTAGGTCTTAAATTTAATAAGCTTTTCATTTATCCTTAATTAATATTTAATGAAAATTTGGTAATCATACCGTAATTCCGTATTTTCCTTCGGTTTTCTCCAAGAGTAACGAAACACTTTACTTTAAATTTTTAAATCATCGTAAATATTTTACATCGTTAATAAATTAACAATTCGGTGGATAGAATTTGATGTAGGTATTATGGAACATACGGAAATCTGATAATTACTTTAACCGGATGCTTGTAATGTTTCAATCATTTTCATTGCTGCATTTTCAACGGTAAATTCACCAAAGTGAACACAATCGTGTGGGTACTAAAATTTTCAATGGCAATTTTTTATGGAATATATCGTGATTGCAGCACATAAATTCACCACATAATTACATTTTAAAAGGGTGCTAAAATAAATATTAATAAGTGCGCGGCAGAAAGGTCGATAAAAATATTTAAATTAGCCTTAATTTCTCTTGAAACGAGAAAGCAACCTGAAAAGCATAGGGGTTGTTATGTAAGTTATTTAAATGTAATCATACTCTACCAATAAATTGAGTTTTAAATTAAAATTCAGATTCCTATTCAGGTTCGAATTATTTCTTTGATAATTCGGGCGAACTCAACGTTAGGGTAAAAATTTATTTTTATTGGTCTATAAAATTTTTTTCCGGAATTTCTAATTTGTTAAAAGCCTCTTATAACTATACTTATAAGTGTTATAGGCGTTGCGAAATTAGCATGTACTTAAAAAGATCAAAGAGAATGCATTTAGATGAAAAACATGATAGAGAAAGTCAATACCCTGTTTGGTAGTAGCACATTGTAGGCCTGTTTACCACCGATGTTAGCATGGCGGTTTTTCACTTAACGTTTAACATCAAATTTTGAATTCATCTCACTAACCGCCTTATTCCCAATTCCATTTCGTATTAATAATTTAATTGCAGATTAACAAAGTTAGACCCCTTTTACTTCCTCTTGCGTTTCACTCTACCTACATAAATTAATACCTATTCAAGATGCGTAAGGGTCGAAGGGAATTCTCTATATCAGCTATAATACTCGTCTACTTAAACCGGTCAGAAAGCGGTCAGTTCACCGGTCATATCATAATTATGCTTTTGATTCTAATTCTCTGCTCTGAGAGGCCTTATTTTGAAGGAGCTATTACCCTCCGAGTCCTGTTTTATTATCCATTCATGTATTTAAATTTTCAAGGATATAACTACAGGCTTTTAAGAGGTTTAATGAAACCAAAGCCATAACCGTCAAGGGGATTACGGAACGCAATAAAAAGGAAAACGGACAAAACTTACATCTCTCGGGATCTCGATAAAGTCCATCGATTATTTAAACGTATCAACCTGAAAAGTATTTATTAATCCACCCCAATTATCTTTAATATTAGTTGAAAATAAATTTTTGTTTCCATCACCTAATAAATTAATCCCAAAAAAGTAAAAAGAATACTATCCTGGCTGCAAAATCTTCAGTAGAGATTTGGTTATAGATAGCTTTAAGAAACTGTTCAGGAGGGCGGCAAATAAGGTTATGTAGCTATGATAATATCCAATCTCGATAGATTTGTTTTTGAAAACCGATTCATACCACTATCTACTTTTCCTATTAGTACAAATTCAGTTGAATTTTTAACAAAAAATTTTATTCCAAGAAAATTAATGAAATTGATGGTAAACGAGAAAGTGTCAAAAAAGAAAAACTAACAAATAAAAAGAAATCAATTAACCGGCAAGAATTGTAAGGTGCACGAAAGTGACGAAATTAATTCAAACTTTTGAAATTTGTTTCGTATTATTAATCTCATCAATCACTGGCATCGACGTTTTGTCACGCAAGTGCTTCCGCTGTAAAAAGTTCAAATAAAAAGATACGTACCTGCAGAAACGGTCGCTTCGATTATTGTAAATGTTGGAAGCAGTTTTCCTGTTACTAGACCCGTATATTACTCGAAATGATTTAATAGCAAAATTGCATTTCGCGCGATTTTCGAATCCCGAAGAAAATATGGGCTCGGAACAACACAACTATAAGAGACCGAATATTTGAATCAAATTAGATAAATTGAATAGGTAAATTTCTTTAACAGCACCAGCTTTTTTGAGAATATATTTAATACATAGTTAAAAATAAACCCCTATTGTATTGGTATTATTTTCCTAAATAATATACATTGATAATGATAGACAAAGAAATCGAAACCTGCGGTTGCAATAATTATTAACTAATACCGGCAAAATATCTTTTGTTGACGCTATACAGACAGCGTGGGCTGAGCGAAATTTTACCTGAAATTTCCGGCTCCTTCATTTACAGGAATAAGGCTTCAAGACAAGGATAATAATATCCCTGCGCTAAAATACGAAGCAAATGTATATGACAATAATTCATTTTCTTGTACAAAAACATACATCTAATGGGGATGTCCACGCGTTGGAATTTTTAAACAGTCTTCCTTTAAATGAAATGTCCTTATCAGAATAATTTAAATAGCCCTATTTTTCGTAGCTCTTTTTATATTGTCTCCGCGCTGGGATCTGATTGCAAATCTCTGTTGGCTTTCTGCATAATTTTTATCATTTCGTCCTTTTATCAACGATGTTTTATATACGCCGTGAAAATAGATTACTTATCTTCAGAACAAATTATAAATACAATGAGAAAATGAATGTACGTTTTGTAACAAAAGGCCAGTTTTCTGAATGTTCCATACAAATCCTATAATTCGATACAGTAGAAAAATTGAAACATCCCAACCGAGTTTAGTTCTAATTTTACATCTGAATATATTTAATCTCGAATTAATGTGTGGTATATGGATACACACATACATATGTACATTTGTGGGTATTAGGTATAAATTTGTAAAATCAGTTCAATATGTACACGATTAATCCGTGATGTGTGACAGGATCTTCGAATCCAATGTAGGTCAACCTTACAAGAGATAATTATCTAGTGTATGAATATCGCTGTAAAGGTTATCACTTTCCTAAACCAAAAATTATGGATCAATAACTTGTCGTTAGTCCTGATGAATATTTGCGATAAGCTTTTCTAAAGAAAATCTATTAAGCTCCCCGAATGAACGTAATTTTCTATGCGGCCTTTTTGAAACGAACTGTTTTCATTTTGTCGAATTATATACGAACAGAAGAAATGTTCATAATTTAATAAAAATATTCATAAAATCTCTAGCTATTTAAAATGTAATATTTCGTTCATTAAAAAAATGGTGGATCGATACTTTTATAGTATATTTTTAAACCAAATTTATAAAAGCTACCTACCAGCACCTCATAAACCATTTTTTGTTGATTTGTTACCCGTTCCAATTTTATTGGAGTCAAAAAAGTTAACTGCCTTTTAAACGCCCGCAGAAAAATCCAAATAAAGATAAACATAAAGAATATTTTTATAACGAGTTCGTGCTACTAAGCTTTGGTTGCAGACTTCAGAATTGTGAAATTGCGTGATCCCACCTACGCTACATTATTCGTGTCATTAGTCATTGCGATTTAATTTTATGTAAGCGAAAATTTTTCTATAGAGTGTTACATAGCATTTGCATCGACCTCTTAACGGCGCAGCTGATGAAATTGCTACATTACTTTGACAAGCTATAACAGATGGAAATTATGGATAGATTTTGATTAAATTGTAATTAGTATTACAAAATCAACGTGCAAATCCATTGGCAGTTGTGCAATAAAATTGTTATCTCCAACAGACTAATTCAAATTATGAAAATATTTCCCAAATAATCCCATTAATCAATATGTTATTTTCTTGATTGATGAAAAGGAAAATACGAACAAATTGAATATGCCAAAATAGCACATACATAAAATGTAAATCATTTAGGGTATTCACAATTGCTCTTATCCATAAGGATCCTAACCATTTATACTTAATGTTATTATGGAAAAACAACTTCTAATGGATATCGATTTTTCTTATTTTTCAGGTAGCATGGCTTAAAGTGGATACGCAAACAATACTCACAATATACAATCATGTTATTACCAAGAATAACAGAATAGGGGTATCAAACAGCGAGAGGAACATTTGGCATCTTCATATCAAAGACGTTCGAGAATCCGATCAAGGATGGTACATGTGTCAAATCAACACGGATCCTATGAAAAGTCAAGTTGGATTTCTTACGGTTGTTGGTAAGTTTTAATAAGATGTATTCTTTATTAAATTATGTATATACTAACATTAAATTAAAAATAATAAAAAAACCCAGCTAAAAAATCCGTCAACGATAAAATTCATAATTCAAAACCTTCAAAAGCGGGCAAAGCAAGTAACAAATAAAAATTGATCAATTCAGAAGATAGCATATAATGTATAAACACCTATTATACTCACACATATGTATTTCCCTAGTGAATAATAGATATTTCATTTCTGTAGTTGCAATATTTTCAGCAATAAATAGACGGAACTTCAATAAAATTGAACATTTTACCTGCTATTTGTGATACAAAATATGTGCAAACAATGAATAAAATTTTACTTTAGTGTCGATTAAATTCATTGTATTAAGATATAATCAGAAATACTGTGTAATGCATATCTACAGAATTTTTTACCATATTCATATTGACTGATATTAATATTATTATTTCACCCTAATAATTTGTTTTTTGATTAACATTTAAATACTTATTCGATATTGATAATTAATATTTTCTAATAAAGGAAAAATTTTTGTTAATAACATGTTAATAAATCAACACTACCTCTATAGCCTTTCTACCTACGTTCCCAACTAAGCCAGAATAATCTAGCTAGCTCAACCTACACAGAGACCTCTATACTATATGTAGTTTACTCAAAATAGAGTTTCCGATTTCTGGTGTAATTATAATGTATTAATTAGCTTACCTCTTAATTATTATTCGTCCTCTCAGAAGACTCTTTCATATCAAATTTGAGTCTTCTACAATTTAGGATTTTTACACAAAATTTAGTTTCGTAATGTCGATTTCTGAAAAAGTTTTGAAATTCATATAGACGTTAAAGTGCTTACCGTTCGCTCCGTTACAGGAGAAAAGTTGTTTATCCAATATAGAGGGATGGAATAATAAAGAGGTGATGGAGTATAGTCGAGTGTTTTCTTTATTAAAAACACCTTATTCCGTATTGCAATGATTTATATGAACGTTTTGGAAAAATATTTTTAACCGATATTTTTAGGAGATATTTCCAAACATTTTTTCCAGAGAGTTTTAATCCAATTCCTTATGGAAAAATAGAGCAGTAATCGTATTTTAATACGGCATAAATTTACTAAAAGACAGGTGATAGTATTTTCGAAGCACCGTTACATAAAATGACTTTTGAATGCTCTTCCAGTTATCAGACGAAATAAGCAATGCCATTTCTGGCAGAAATACCTACTCTTGTGATATTATCTGACACGCTGATGATGTAAATGTACATTCTTGTGCTGATAATAGACATTTAGAGCATTATTTTCCGTTTTGCGTGGTCTTATGTAAGCAACATTTAGGTTGGCGAACGAACATTTCGTGCAATTAAAGGAAAGCCTTTATATTTATCCCGCTCGCCGTCGAGATCGTTGAGTTCTAAATGAAATTTTACGATATGTATATTACCTTATTAAAAATCGTATGCATGCGAAAGCAGTTCCGAAAAAATTTTTATTACATCGGTAACACTTAAATGTAATTTATTGGAAAATTACCTGTTAGAACGGAAACCTATTAAAACATAATATGTTCCCTTGTAATGCAGGGTTATAAATGCTATTAAAAATTATGGATTTATTTTTCTGTAATTTTAGTTCATGTTATTAGATTTTAATACGAAAGTATGTCCACTTAATCTTAATATTAATCAAATTATCAAGTATTTTTTCATTTATTTACTTCCAATGCCGCCAATTTGAATTGAATTTAATACATAATTGGATCCCTTCCTTAACAAATATTCCGGTCATCCTAATATTCAGTGTTACCCAAACGTCATTATTTTTCGACTCTTCTGAATACTTCCCTAAATTAGGTAACGAGAAAATCCCCAAAAACCATTACGCTGGGAGTGCCGTGCTAATAGCTCCGAAGTAATGGAGTTATGAAAATTGACTCACTTTAAATTGTCTGAATATCTAATAGGATTAAGATTAAGTTGCAAAGCAAAATAGCAGATTAAACAGACAAGAAATATTATCTTCATTGTGTGCATAAAAAATGATAATATTCGAATTGGTCGGATTTTTAATTTCCTCTAAAAATTATTACGGAGCTTATTTCCCATACAAATATTAAACCCGTACTAAAACCAATAAAATGTCTCCTAATTCTTTTTATGTTCGCCCTCTGTTGGCGAAAGAAAATTTTGTTTTTATACCAACATAAAACCGGAAGAAATTGATTCTTCACGTGAATTTTTATTGCATCCCATGTTTGCTCACCCTAAGCACACCTATCTCAAATGTAACAAAAATATATCCAGTGGGAGAAAGCTGTGGTTTCGCAAACAAACTGCTACTAAATTTACAACAAATTCGTTGTAAACCCGAAACCCAGTACAATGTATAAATTGTGAGAGTTCTTCGTGACAGACGTATACGAACGATTATAGTACCCGAGCCCGAAAGCCCCTTGCATTGTAGCTTTCCTGCAACTAAAATCATTCAAAACATCAAGGGTATGCAATTTATTTTATACAGTATTTCACAATTTATCAATTCGTTTTAGCCTTCCTTTTATTACTAATGCATCTAATAAAGGTAGGTAGTAGATAGAAAATTTCTATACATTCTTAGTAAATTACTATCAACATCATACGTTCAAAATATATGCATAGAAAGCAGAGAAAGTTCTAAAGTGATATTGTTACTTTATAACTCCCCAGAACTCCATTAAGCTTCTTACCTTCTTATGCTACTAAATTAATATTGACTAAATGAATGTTGTATTTAACTTTTTGGTTTCAACAGTAAGCAAATCTCCGGAAAAACTCTTAATGAGCAAAAAATGAGCAAATTAAAAAGCTTCTCTAATGGTTGAGCTGAGTTCGTGTACATAAAAAACTTTGTTTTAACTTGCGAAATAGAAAAAATGTACTACATTCGGTTTCTATTTAGTACTGCCAGAATTAAAAAGTTTCGATACCTAATCACTGTACACTAGAATTAGAACTACCGACATATCCTTAGAGCCGAAAATAATTATTCACATTCCTACGTTTTCATTCTCTCGAGAATTTCATTAGATAGCGCAGTTTAAAAAGTCCAATTACAGAGTTTTGCTGACTGCTAACATTTTACTCAGCGGATTCACGGTTAAAAATACAAAGCAACTTCAGTGACTTTGAGACAACTTTCGCCAGGTTTGTGGGTATTTCAGTTATGATTTTCTTCAATTAGTAAAGCAAACCAACAACTTTTGATCTTTTAATATCGTTAATAAGACTTTGAGGATGTATTTCCTTATACGCAATTACACCCACAACTTCCGAGTTTAATTTTTGTAACTCTTTCTTGTTTGACATGTGTAATTTCGAAATTAAATTCGATTTCAACTGGTATAAATTTTGGTTATTTATGGTCAATTGCCATTTTATTTTGACTTGATAGGGTATCGCATTCGGAGTAAAGGAAATTTATCTTCAATGACGCAAAATTAATATCTTAATCTACTCGTTAGATTTGATTAAAGCAAAGTACACCCTTATCGTCTACTGGTCCTCTATCTTTTAGAAACTAAATTCAAATTCGAACGAGGTAAAATTAATTAAAATAATTAGCGATTCTCGTTTGACATAGACTTTAGCAATCATAATTCGAATTGTTCTTAACCACAAAACGACTTAAAATTGTTTGCAGCGTATAGATTGCTGGTTTATAACTGTAGATTGGGGTATTAGTCCAATTAATGGAGCATAAAATAATCCTTTCCCAAAAGTTTGCCACCAGATAAAGACAAGACACCGAATGAACAAAATTTAAATTTCGCAGAAGAGTGGTTTTCTAATGAAATTGGTCGTTATATGAGAAAACTTAATTATCTTACAAATAAGAAAATCGAGAAGAAGTATCTCTAGTTCGATAAAACATTTTAATGGAATAGAAAATGTGTTCGAACGAATCAAAAGTTCCTTATTCCGATTCGTCTTTAAAAAATAAATCTCTCTAAGGATGAAGCGTCAATGTTTATTACTTGTAAAATTACAAGCTCTAGAAATTTAATATTTGTCATTTCAAATTATTCGTTTTTTAATGATAACTACCGAAGTTTCCGGTATTGAACTGAAGTACTTCTTTTAATGAGAAATTTGAGCTACAACCTTGATTTTTTCTTTTAACGAGGAGTCTCATTATCGCTATTGATATCAATATTTTAAAATAATGCAGTTAATGAAAGAGCGCTGGATTTCTATCTTTTGATGTCACCTATTGATGGATTATCGGTTTATTTTTAATATACCTAAGTACTTTACATTTTTACATAGGCATATGAAATCCAATTTTATATTTATTAGTTTTTATAAACAATTATACAGTTTACAGTTGTAAAAAAATTCTGAATTTATGCAGTAAGAGAAACATACTAATTTCTCAATTATCACTATTGATTTTTCTCATAAGGCAGTAGATTACATACATATACTGGTCATTCCCAGTAATAAGTTTGTTTTATACGGACGGAAGAGTTAACAATGCCAGATGCACTCAGGATACATACTTCATCCCATTATATTGCCTCTTTGTAGGATGTAAGTACATTAACTCAAATTAAGAGGTTTCATTAGGTACTCCCAAATTCGAACTCGAAATAATTTACTTAGTCTAGTTGGGTATAGGATTTGCACTCCTATAAAAAGGGAAATGTGATAGGAACTAATTAATCATTTCAATAATAGTCGTTCACAATACGAAATGAAAAACAGGTATTGACACTGCAGACAATGAACAATGAGTTTTTGGTTAAGGCAGACGGAATAAATCAATATTGGAAGATGTTACTCTGCTTTAAAAACTAAAAATAACTTTTAATAGTTTTACTGATCCTGTCTAATACCATATTTGAGAAGATGGATTCGAGAGTATTCTAACTTTTGATAGATGTTTGCATATTCCATTTAATCAATATTAGATTTAAAATAAAACCTTCGTAGATAATATTACGTGGATTCTAAACGTAAATCTTCTTTCTCTTCGACTGTTTAAAACTATAATACTCAGCGTCGGCAGCAAACTTTATTTTGATTTTCGTTCGTATTCCCACGTAAATCTCTTACATATGTAGATATTTTATAGAAATCCTATAGGGTGCATTATTTCACAATATTTTTATTCTGTACGGGTGTATTTTCAACGTTTTGTCGTCATTATTTTCCAAAACTACCAAGCAATCTAAATCCCTAATAATCAATTTTTGAGATAAATTTATTCAATCTCAGTAGGTTCCTGCATACCTACGCAATGTTTAGAATATTTTAGGTTATCTCAGCTAAAGCAGAGTAATAGATAAGTCTGAGTTATGTTGGTTTTCCTCAACAAATATATCATTCTATGATTGAACGCGATAAACATTCGATTCGAACCTATTAATCGAAAACTTAACGTTAAGGGGAACTGTACTCAAATTACCTACTACTATATGTATGAGGCTAATTTTTATGTACCCAGTAAAAGGAAAATATGCAGGGGTGATAAAAATTATGAAACATTCGCTTCATTTTGAAAAATTAATTACTTGAATTCCTAATTAAAAAAACTATTTAGTATTATATTTTAGATCACACATTTGAATTAGGTATATCAATTCGTTTTGCATAATTACAAATATGTACTCGGTTCGTAATTTCCATTGCATTGAATTTAAGCAATAATGAATGTTTCATTAATTTTGTATTAGCTGTAAATTAAGCCAGCTTTTATTAAATATTAAATTGTAACTAAATAAAACTTCCTTGAACTAAAACTATATTTTACTGGTAAATTGCAAATTCCAAATTGTATTGATATATTTGGAATAATCCCCAATACATCGATTCAAATCAGTTGAGTATTATTTAATTTAGGAATTCGCAGATAATTCCTTTACTTAGAACATTGTAGCTGATAAAGCTAGGAAACGTCATTAAATAGAATTCCATACTGAACAAACGATTCGACTCGATATGGAACCGTAATTTTAGGATATCAAGAGCTAACTAGATGTAAATTCTCCAGTCACACGTTTCTGATAAAGATTTTCTCGGTAGATAAACACCGAATTTAACATATACAGAGAATTGCTTATTTTATCGTATTAAATCTGGAATTCTGAATTGATTTTGACAACAAGTAAGTTCATTAAGTTCTTGCGAACTTAGGTAAATAGAGAGCGTTACGCTAATTTTTACGTAAGTTTTCGAAAACTCACTATTAACTACAAATGTAACTTTAAACATTCAAATAAATTTTTCCCTTGTTGTATTCACTGTCGCAGGAAAATTCGCATAACTAACACATTTTGCGAGATAACCTAATTATTAAAACACCCTGTAGTTTATCTTTAAATTCGTATAAAATTGTAGTTGTCGTGTCACGAACTCTTCTGGTTTTAATTAGTTATCATAATTAAGATCTTTACGGCGTGTACAAAATTCTAATTTACTTGTAATGCTTAACTCGAGTTGATTTTGATTTAATCACTTTTATGAAATCAAAACATGAAAATATTTTGAACGTGTTTCGCCGTTTATTACGCTTCTAATTTCTCTTTGTTCAAAATGACTACCTACCCACCCTAATTACAAAGCATATGATACAATAGATAAATTTCGCCAAGTTTAAATTAATCTAGTTTCAAATATAGTTCCATCAAATATTTACCATTATCTGCAATTTTAGATACAACTGTAGGTGCAATATTGTTGTGCATTTATTCCTTTGATCGCTATTCCCTTATTGTTTCCCTTGATTCCACAGGTATTGAATTCCGATACGATTTTGGGGTTTCCCACTAAAATCTGTTTCACTGGTTGAGCCCATTATGCTCACACTAATATCAATTGCATAAAGAAAAGGTGTTTTCATTTAATATTCCTGTTAAACCATTGAATATTTAGTGCATATGCAGCAAGCTCGCTTTGAAATCCTTTGATTGTAGAAGGCATTTACCTACATTTCATTAATAAATTCTCAGCATAGCTCGGACTTGGTTAATAGAAATTACTCATTAAGCCTTCCTCTAGCTAGTTATTTTGATAATTATAAATGACCAGTTTGAAAATGAAATACTAATTTGTATTTAAATATTTGATGTTGTTTCAGTTCCTCCAGACATTCTTGATTATCCGACCAGTACAGATATGGTTGTAGACGAAGGTTCGAATGTCAGTCTTCAATGTGTAGCCAAAGGGTCGCCTGAACCATCCATAATGTGGAAAAGGGAAGATGGTGAAAAAATCCGGTTCCAAAATGGAGTTGAGGGTAAAAATGAAATTTTAATTCCTGTTGGCATTTCTCCAATTGGTTCCATCATCGACCATAATCTTGCATTTATCTTCATGAATATTATAGTTCTAATGTGTTCATAGATTTTTCAGGACTTCTGTACTTGTTTTTCTTTTTATACCCACTTTTTAGTCCAGTACGAAAGGATCGATGAATAGATTGTAATGCTACTTAATAAATAATAGATAACCAAAAGGACAAATGTAGCCGTTTTAACTGCATAATGCATGTCTCCAATTAACTCACTGGCATATCATCATAATTATTTTGAATAAGCCAGGGAACTATTATTCATGCACTTTCCGACTCAATTCTTTCGTTAAAAATTCCATTTAATTAATAAGTAGGTAACATGACTGTTAAAAATCGATGATAGGTAGTATTTGATCGAAACGCTTTTTATTTAGTGAATTCCAGACATTTATTGGTAGTACATCATTTTTCCTTATTGCTTAGTTCTCAATGCTACTGGGCCAGTATTGAACATTACTAATGTGAAAAGGGACCACATGGGGCCGTATTTGTGCATCGCAACAAATGGAATTCCTCCTTCAGTAAGCAAAAGGATCAAACTCGTTGTGCAATGTAAGTTAATAAAAATGTTCTTTTAGAAATTCAGTTAAATTGCCACTTAGAAATCATTCTTTTTATGCATTTTATTTTTTTGTTGAGGTATTCTAATTTTCTTTTCGTGAACTATAATTTATTTTTTATAGCCACTAGTAATCGGCTCTAAATAATAGGTTGCGTGAAAATTTCTCTAGTTTTTTTTGCTGTAAAATGTTTGTGGGAAAATTCTATTTATAAATATCGCTTAACTCAAAATTATAAGCATGCTAAAGAAAAGCAAATATAAAAAGAACACAGATTATTTGGTAGATATAAACAACTTTCCTTTCATAATGTGTTATTGACCGAACTTCTATCGTGGTATCATTATACTCATAAATATGCAGTAACGAATAAAACACAACAAAATAGGCTATTTTTTATGTTCTTGCGAAAAAGTTGTAGCATAATGGATCATAAACTAGTTAATAGATTAGTTGCTTTATAGAAAGTTCAAACTTTAATGCATTATTTGAATAGTACAATTTCACTGATGTGAGTTGCGGAACCAAATTAGTAGTGGAAAATTTTGTTTCTATAAACGCGTGACAAAAGCGTAGAACTGTTAATTATATCTCCCTGCAAAGTTAAATAAAATAATCCTCAACTCTCCTATTATTCAATTAAACTAAATTAATTTGATAATAAGTGAAACGATGAGAAGTGAAGTTAATTTATGCCAGTACCTGCCTAATATTTAACAAAAGCTTTACTTTTTTGTTGTTATTCGTTATTAATTAAAATTCACTTCTCGTGGAATTAACCAAAACTGTGTTTGATCTACTGAAACTTATTCTCATTACCTAGAAACTTCTTGTATTAACTTCAATATTTTAAAAATCACTACAGATATTGATCGCTGTAAATTTCCAACCAGGAATATACCTATATATACCCAACAAAGTTTAAGAAAGTTTTAATTTAGGTTTGCGCACAGGTAGTTGACACATTTATCTGTTTATATTGCAGTTGCTCCTTCGGTGTACATTCAATACCAATTAATTGGTGCTTACGATGATCAGCAAGTAACTTTGGAATGTTTCTCGCAAGCTTTCCCAAAGTCAATAAACTATTGGACTAAGGAGACCGGCGAAATTATTCCACATAGTAAGTAGAATAGTTTGAAGGATCTACTCTCTCAAAGTGGCTTTTAAATGATCTAACAACGGACCAAGATGATGGAAAAAAAATAACTAACGTGAAAATCGATAATTTATTTCATTTTTTATTCATGTTTCTCAGCTGTTGACCGCCCCTACGCTTCTTTTGTTAATGAATAAAAAATTATGAAACAAATAAATGAGCATCCAAAATCTATATTTTACTAATAAACTGGATATTTTTTGCTCTAATGTTCGAAGAAAATGCGAATATAAAATAATGAATAATTTGTTACTAATTAGCACTTACTTGCATTCAAGTTGATTTCATTACTCAAGACTCCAACAGATTTACCTTTCACAAATGTTTACAGTATTATTCTAAACGAGTTGCAATTACATAAAATTTTGGGCAAATTAAAAAAATACGTTTCTAACGAGTTATTTTTTAGGCAACAAGTTTGTTCCGGAAATAATAGAAGATGGGTATAAGGTGCACATGAAGCTTAGAATTAAATTATTGGATCCAAAAGATTACGGAATTTACAAGTGCATATCAAAGAATTCTCTTGGAGAGATGGAAGGAACGATAAATGTTTACAGTATGGAGAATGTTGAAAAAATTACTAAAATATACTAATTATTTTCTTTTTAGGACTCACTAATCCCAATCAATACATCCATACTAGCAAAAAGGAATTAAGTAAGTACCAAGGAACATCACTGAATGATATATTTAAATAAACTATTATTTTAAGCTGAAGACAATATCATATCTGGAAACAATAACCACAGATACTTTGACGACGTGAGAAAAATTCGAAATGATACATCAAAGAAATTCAATCTGGAAGGTAATATTTATGGTGATTCTAAAATCTACATGAACTGTTTTTCGCGTCTAAAAATATCAATTCTAGCAAAAACCGATCCGAATTGGTCCGAGAACTATTGCAAATATTAACAAAATGATTGAAGTACATACCGATTTAATGCCTTTTTTTTTCTTTCAGAAGCTATTGATCTTCAAAGCTACCATAGTACCAATTCTGCTCATTATATTTCAATAAGCAACCATTTAATGAAACTATTCCTAACCCTCGTAATTACCCTGCACTATGGCCACCATTACCACTCACATATCCGTGTAAGCATATCATAATTAAAGCGGACTATCTCCCATATCATAAAAATAGGATTGTGGCTATTTTTGTACGCTTGTAATTAGATTAGCTTAAGTATTAAATATTTAATGCCCCCCCGACATTTACTTATAGGAATTTGTCTAACCTGTATATATTTTAATGTAACAAATAAAAATGATAAAATATCATTTCGATTGCGTTTTGTTTTTAGTAATAAGACGTAAAAAAGAATACCTTATAAAAATATGAAATGTTTATTCATTGTAAATATAAAAATTATTATCAACTTCAAATCTATGAAGCAAAATATGTTTCTTTAAGTGAATTGGAATGATACTCTTGCAGGTACTTGCTAAAATAATTCATACATAGCAGTTCTGCTTCATAGTAATTAAAAAAAATCTATAAAACAATTATCTATTGGACGGAGTCGTAACCATATTTCACAATAAAATACCAAAAATTAAAAAAAGTATAAAAAAATATCAAAAAATCAGATCTACTACCATATGAAATTAAAATTAAATATTAACAATAGAGAGGATGGAATAGAAAACACATTAATATACGCCATAACATTACGAATTTCTGAAAATGTAATGCATTGCAGTTATTGCAAAAGTTAATAAACTAGTTTGTACGCCACTAGCTGTGCTCCGATAATATTGTGGTTTTCCTGAAAAATATCGAACAGATTATTTGGTGTCCAATAGAAAATACATCTAACACCGAAAGATAGTACAAAAAAACCATGTTAACAAAAAGAAGAAGTGTAAGAAATTAATAGAAAATACAATAAAGTTAACAACCAAAATAACACCATCAAAAGTTTATTATAAATCTAAACTTATACCACTAAATGGATGTGTTGTTTTTGTTAAGAATAGTTACAAAATAAAGCAACCGAATGAAGAAAATGTAATAATACAATGTTTTAGTGAACATTCAAGCATTTATGTAAGTGGCATGAAAGTAATGAAATTTGCTACTCTACACCAAATCTACGTGGTTTTAAAATTTTTTACTCTCTTCTGTACGCACCCATTTGGAATTCCTTTTCTGGCGAACTCATTCGACCATCTCCACCATTCGAATAAGCTAACACCCTCAATTTGTACACTTTACCAGGCGAAAGATTATAGACATAACCTTCCAATTTCCCACCGAATGGTATTATTGTATCGTTGGCAGTGCTTATATCTTGATCGCTCTCCCATACTCTTATCTAAAATTAGAAATAAACCAGTTAGAACGTGAATATATTCAATGATATAGTAACAAACCTTGTAACCTTGTAAAGGTTCCTCCTCCAAAGATGGCTGTACATATCGCCAAACGACTTTAACTGTAGATGGATTAATACCATAAACAATAACAGATGAAGGCGGTTTCTGAGGAGCCTTTCTGTAAGTGCGTTCTAAAAAGAGAGTTTGATTATTGCAATTAAACGAACAGGTCATTTTGAACCACATTTGTACCTATGAAACGTTCACTTTCTGGACCTTCGCCAGCCGCATTGTACACCATAGCTTTTACGTAGTAATAAGTATCGGGCTGAAGACCAACGATAAGAGCCCATGGTCTGGTATGTCTCGACAAATAGTATACAGAATCTTGCTCGAGGGTGTCTTTTCTCCAATATTTTATCTGAAAAAACGTAGTTATATTACAGTCCGAAGTTGTATTAGATTTCTTACTCTGTGGCCAATCAGTTTTCCTCTGATCTTTTCTCTCGTCTGGTCAACAGGTACCCAACTAACATTGAGAGCTGTCGAGTTATAAGACTTCGCCACAACTAACTGAGGAGCAACTTGAGGCATATCTTCAGCTGAGTATATAATGATTTCTTTGCTAATGGGTCCTGGTCCTTCGTCGTTAATTGCTTGAACTTTTACGATATATTCTGAGTAATAATACTTGGGATTGATATAAACTACGGCTCCTCCGACGTTTCCAAAAGCTTCCAAAGATTGACTTTTAAATTCTGCTTCACCGCCTAACCTCTTCCAGAATATTTTGTAGTATATTCCCGGGCCATTTTGTTCGTCGGATTTGAGAGGCGTCCATTTTATGGAGAGATCACCAATTTTACCGCCGCCTCCCCAAATATTATGGGGAGGAATGTAGGGTCTATCCGGAGGAGTGTAATGTTTAGGACTAGGCTGAGAAGGCTCGCCCATTCCCAATCCATTCCAAGCTGATACTCTAAACTCATATATCGACCATGGTGTTAAAACGTTGTCTATAATAGCCTCTTTCCTTCCTGTGTATCTATCAATTTCCGTAGCTCTTATGCCTTGGGTGATGTTAACCCAAGTTTGGTTCCAGTTAGTTCTACCGCTTATACTGTAACTGTAGATTGGAGAACCATGCGTAGCTCCATCAGTCCATTGTAATGTCACCGACGTTTTTTGAATATTTAGCACTTGAACCCCGCCCGGGGGACCAGGAGGACCTTCGACAATAACTAAAGATCGTGAAAATATTTTACCGACGGCAGACTTAACCAAACACTCGTATTCTCCTGTATCCGAGAACGACGCGTTGTTTATTCGCAAGTAACCCCCGTCGACCTTCATTCGAGTGAACGAATTCTTTACATCGATATCACGGATGACCATTCCATTATGTTTCCAAATATAAGCGATATCTAACATTTCATCGGTCACTGCGTAACAACGCAAATCGATGCTTCTGCCCATTGATGTTCTCAAGGTGTCACTCAAAGGTTCGACCAGACGAGGACCTCCTACGAAAAAAAGGATGTTTTAATTTTTTGAGATAACTAAAAATTTATGTACTTACTTAGAACAATGAGTCGCCCTCTGGATTCGTCTATGCCAAGCTCGTTTGAAGCTGTGCAAGTGTACAATCCTTCGTCGTCTCTTGACACAGGACTGATGTACAAATTGCCGTTATCGAATATTCTTCGGTGGCCTCCGGAACCTAAAACGTTCCCGTCTTTTTTCCATACAAATTTAGGCCTGGGAGCTGCCTCAGGGTTACATTCTATAGTCACGTTGCCACCTTCAGCTGCATATGATTCAAACTCTAGAGGGTGCTTTTTGAATGATGGTTTGAAAGCTGAAAAATATTCAATATTTAGTCGCTACGATTGGATATTAAACGATTCTAAAGTACCTAAGACTCGTAGCTGCGCAGAAGAGTAAGTCGTTTTCAATGTATTAGATGCTCTACATTGATACATTCCCGGATCTTTGTCCTGGTCCAAGTAAGAAATGGTCAAAACATTATCTTGAATTTTAATCCTACCTCGATCTTCAATATCCATATAACCCATAACTATAACGAAAGAAATTAGCATTCTATAACAAGTTTATTATACTTTAATTACCTAACTGACGACCATTTCTCCACCATGTGTAATTTACATCAGGTATTCCAAAAGCTTCGCATGTCCATATCAGTTCACTTTTGCTATCTGCATGTCTATCAGTCAAAGGAATAGTGAACATTGGTTCAGCTAAAAAATACAAACATTGAGCAATTAAAATACAACGTTATTTATGAAATTTTGTACCTTGTATGGTAACAATAACACTATTTTCTATACTAGCTCTATCATTGTAGGCACGGCAAACATATTCACCCTCATCTTCAACTTGAACTTTAGGTATCACAAGAACTCTATTGTAATTTGTTAAAAAGGCACTTTTCGGTAATCTATCACCCTTCCTTGTCCAATTGTAACTCGGCACAGGACTAAAATAAATCGAGAATAAAATTCACGAACCTCGAAATCGAATTCAAAAACTTACTATCCAAAGGCAACACATTCTAATCTAAGATCTTTCCCAGCTGTGGGTGCTTCGGGAAAAGCTTTAGGGAAGTTATTCGGAAACTTAAGTTGTTGATAGTTTGCTAAAAAAATAATGAGTGAATAGAAATACTTTTAGTATAAGGGCTTATACTTACAATGCGGATTTACTTTTAAAGGGAAAAATGGACCATTTCTACCAGAGTCCGAAAATTCTGAATTAACACTACAACTGTAATTAGCTCTGTCTATAGTTTCCAAGGCAGAAAAATATAAAGACCCATCGTTCGAGACGAAAACACGCCTGTCCTCTTCGACGAAATTGGGAAAATAATCACGAGACCAGGAGTATTTAACAGCAGGGAAGTGGTTCGGTGGATCACAGTAGAATGATTTACCCCAATTTTGATCACCCGATTCACCCAAACGTTTCAAAACGAATTCCAGAACAAACCCGAAATTCAGTTGGACACTTTCAGATATTATCGTTCCGAATTTGTTCGAAGCTTTGCAATGATAAGTAGCGTGGTCTTGCTTATCATGAGGGTTGTGTATTATTAAAGTGCCACCGCTAATTGTGTAACGACTATCCAGTAAGGGATCTATCTTGTGAGCGACAAGCCTGTCCTTTCTATAATCTTCCCTGTACCATTCGTATGTTGGTGTCGGGTATCCTCCAGCCAAGCAGCTGAAACATCGTTTAACTTAGATTATTAATTAAATAAAAATACCTCATTAACCCAACATTGTTTGGGATATAAAGGTCAGAATTAAATTAGATAAAAGTTATTTATAGCACTATCAATTCATAAATACAAACAGGAATTATATATTATTTTATAACAAATTATATTACCTTAGACTAACATCGTTGTAAAGCTTTCTTTTGGAAACATCAAAAATTGCATCGGTAGGTTGTTTAATAAAATAAGGCCCCCTTGGTATCCTTTCAGGATCTACAGTATCGATCCCGTAAGTAAAACTCCTTTCATCAGTGACCAATCTTTGTACAACTCCAATATTGGCTTCGCAAATGAACCTTAATGGCTCGTCTCCTTGGATTGGTTCGAAACCCCAACGTAAAATTGATCTGGAAAAATTATAGGCGAGATAGTCCCTGCCATAAGGATATTCTATTTCGATTATAGCGTTTTCAACGTTGGCTAACTGGGTGCCATCAGCGTTGCTATAATAACCCGGAGAGCCTTGATGGGCTCCTATGTACCATCTTCTGTGTTGTGGATCTATGGAGTTCAGTTGGTAAATGATGAAACCGTGTTCTTCTGGGGTATTTATAGATACTAAGTCAGATCCACCATTGGTTCCAATGGGTCCGTTGTTAGGGGTGTAAGTCTAATAACAAAATTGTTATTAGTTTAATGAGGGCACTAGCACTATTTAAAAATGTATAAATACCTGGCAAATTCTTCTGGCTTCATTATAAGCTCTTAAAGGAGACTTTACGAACTTGTAGCAACTGTTTTGGTAACGTATCCAAAATGGAGGGCATTTTAATTCATCAGTACTTCCATAATTATAATTTCCTCCATATCCATACATGGGGTAATTTGTGTTTGGGTTAAAATTATTAAAATCTCTGTTGTAATTTGTATTTTGGTTGGGGTTGTAAGTACCCTGGTTGTAGGAGCCCTGGTTGTAGGAGCCCTGGTTGTAGTTATTTTGATTTTGGTTGTAGTCGGGGTAATTGAAGTTAGGGTTGTAGTTTCGATTGTTCAAATTGTTCTCATCATTTTCGTTGATGCTGTTTTGATTTTCATTCAAAGGGTTGACGTTGTATGGGTTTACTTGGGCCGAACATATTCCTAATAAAGGTGTAATCCAAAACAACCACATAGCTAAAATAATTAACGTTTAATTAATCTTTACATCTTACTAAGTTATTACTAATAATGGGAGTGGCATGTTTTCTCAATTTCTCTCACAAAAATTTACTATTGCAATTTGTATTAAATCTATTTTCTAATAAATTGAATGTTTATAATTTTTGATTACATACCTGAACATTTATATTTACAAATAGTGATAAGAAAAAACAATAATCCTACTTAATTTAAGCGTCACATAACAGTCATTCTTGAGTCACAATTATTGAATAAAACAAAACAGAAACAGAAAACGAAACGAAACGACACAATGAATGACAACTGACGTATGATTCAAACATGACGTTTGACAGTAATTCTAATAAATAAAAGTTATTCGATGGCAGTCTTAATATCATTTAGTAAATTTATTTAGATTCATATTGTTTATAAAAATTTATAAGCATTTATAGTTACATATAATACATTTTAAAATAATTTCTTCAATATGAATTCTTTAATAAGTTTTGTATAGTATTGCTGAAAGTTCATAGATGGCACCACCTGTAAAATATTTAATTAACACAATTAATTAAATCAAATAATAATGTTTCACATCAGTAAATAGTGTAAATGTAAACAAATTTAGTTGAAAATTTATTTTGTGTTCATTAGCACTTGAAGGCGGTTAAAAAAAAGTGCAACACGGCAATTTATCCAGGACCGAATCCAGGAAATTCTAATGAATTTATTTTTAATAAAATTAAATTATATTAAAATATTGAAGTGATTTAGTGCATAATAAATATACTGGTTGCGTTGAAAAAGTAAAAATTAGGTTTAATTTCCAATAAATATGCGTTCGTAGCTATGCTTCTCATCCACCAAAATTTAAAAAAAAATATCGTTTTCTGGCTACAAATTTGAATAGTGGATATACACCGGAATTATAATACTTTTTAAATCCTAAAATATTTTGTTAGGTAAGGGATAATTCCAAAACAATAAAAAACAAGTAGATTGAAGGAAATATTCAATTATCTACACCCAGGAGCGTCTTCAAAGCAGGAATCTTTAGCGTTCGTTTAATGTATTCATAAAAGATTCCAATTATAGTGTACTTTGGCTAAGATTTTATTATCAATTAGTATCCACTAAGTATACCCTAGAGCGTTCCAAAGGCTCAAACGCTTTCAAAGCCATAAAGTGTCTTCCTTTGGTGTAGCCCGAAATAGTTCTAAAATGCCGTCCTCTGATAGTGTTTAGTGAGGTAGTTAGGTAGGTATTGCGTTTCATAGCATCGCATCAACGGACATCAAATTCTTAGGAAACTGCCACGATGTCTAATGGTTTGGTTCAATCAATTTGGGCAACATATTACCCACTAGCAGCATTATCAATATTTGTTACACAGAAATGCATAACTACGAATTTGGTTTAGGCTTTCACACAAGGGTTTTAATGATCAATTTGGTGGAAACGCGAAAAGCAGAAATATTTTTAAAAGTCCTTTATGAAACGTAAAATGAACCATTTGGAAAATAACTCGATATGGTTGAATAAAACCAGTTTTTTTCATAATGAACACTCTTTTTGATGTTGCGAACTGAGGGAACTGATGATCAAAGCTTATAGGGTGTTAATAATATATTATTTTGAAAATACTCTAAAGATTATTATTACTTTACTTGTAATATATAGTTGATTTTAGAACTAACCAGCATCATCACTTTCATCAGTCAATCGGACTTTACCGGTCTTACCCATTAGTTCTTCGCATTTAATGAATTCCTTTATTTTATTGCCTGTAGGAATAAGTATATAATTTATTAAACCAGGAAATAATTTAGCTGAATTTTTCAATACATAAAAGCAAATTAAACCGGCGCAAGTCTACCGTTGCTAATAATATAAAACCCGCTTTACCGGCAGTATTTGAAAAATCCAAAAAAATGAAAGGTAAATAAAAAGGCCCTTTGGTGGAGGATTCGTAGGATTTATAGTTGAGCAGTTAAATCAGTGACATGTGAATTTCAAACTTCGAATTTAAATTATTTCCGCATCAACTTCTGTATCGGAATCCGCACCTTTGAAACCTAGCAACGACAAGGTACACAAATGATCAAACATGAGGTATTTTTTTCTCGCAGCGTAACGAGGGACCGCTTTTTCGAGAATTTATAAAAGGCGTGATTAAATTTTTAAAGGGGGCGTTAAGAAAACATTCATGTTTGAATCGAAAATGGCTTCGAGAAAATATTCCACAGAAACACTCACAAACAAGCCGTTTTTGTATGAATAACATCATGAGGGTCTTTTTTAAGTTATTTATTTATTTATGATTTGCTTTAATAATCTAGGAGTTCTTTATTTATGAATACTTAGCGAAAGTAAGTAATTTGTTTACAAAGTCATGATGATTTGTAAAAGTTTTCTTTCCTTGTTGACGAATAATCCAAAGTTTTTTTATTATCTTAGTCTGTTTTTATAAAATCTCTAAAACTTCCGATGAAAGCCTTTAGAGATTTAAGAAACTTAATCTAAAAATATGTTTTGGTTGTGAATTTTTACGAAGCTGGTAAAACTAATTATGATCGTAGATGCGCTCTGTTTGTTTTTGCACAAAGTTGAAAGTACTTAATAGCCTAAAAGGGGTTAACGTTAATCGCTAATCGTTATATCAATAGGGGTAGGGTTAAAAATATATGAATACATTAGAATACTAATTTATTTAGAACTCATTTGGAAATTTATTATTTATTCGTATTGTAAACAAATAATACATGAGCAAATCGTGGACAAATTACCATCACCTTAAATAATATTTAAACTAATGATTCAAAGCCAAACTCAAGCGTTTATATATAATGTTTACTCTGCAAATTTTAAGAAAATTACAAGTTATCGTTTTTAGCAAGCATTCAATCCATTACAGATTTGAATATTCAAAATAGCCTTTTAACACCACCCACCACACTTAACTTATTTATGATGCGGAATAAACAAATTAGATTTAACGAGATTTAAGAGATGGCACTTTTTTCATTGACGAAAATTTAATGGCACTTTGCGTTCAACCTCACCCACCCTATCCCTATCAAATCTATTTAAAAAGATTTAAAGTGAATCTAAAAAAATCGTTTTTAATGATATTGGTGGATGCACTAGGGAGAGTTTGATACTTTCCATAATAAAAATTACCTATATGAAGGCGTCTTGTTTTAGTTTTTATGGTATCTAGTATTTTCTATACTTCTTGATTCTTAATATCTATTTTAATTAATATTTCCATTATGCAAAATAAGTTCAGACTTTTTAAATTACTGTAGAAGGAAATGAAATCTTATAAGGTTGCTCAAAGGAAAAAATAACGATGATTTCAGTATCCTGGAGGAATTTTATGTTATAATTAAATTATATAGATTTAGATATACAATTTTTTTGCATTTATTTTTATTATGACTGGATTAGGCTAAGGTGACGAAATTATGAACAATCAATATGATACCTACATATTATAAAAATAAATCAATGTGCTAGTTGTTAAAAATAAAAATCTGTGACTGACAATTTAAAAATAGCAATTTCTTCCAGTTTATTTTCCAACTAGAACAGGATTAGTATATATTTTAAACACGTTTTCTAGGTAAATCAGCAAGTAGGTAGATATATTATTTCCATCAACTTATGCAAATGTCAGAACAAGTTAAACTGAATTTGTATTATCTACTTCAAACCCTTATATTTCCTTGCAAATTTATTTTTCTATCTATTCTAGAATTGTATTGCAAACTCGCAACAAAATAAAATACATTCTTCATGATGAAATGTCACTAGAAGTTGTATAACTAAACTTGTTACAAATTGATAGGACGTTACTTTGACATAAAAAAGTATTAGAGATTATCCAATTCCTTCTGAGGAAGTTTGGAATTAAATCGAAAAATTGATCTGTCACCAGCATTCATCACCAGCTTTCTTTTGGAAAAAACTACATATTTTAGCCACATCCGTATATTGGATTTTCGGTGCTCCTATAAATATTTATGGAAATGAAAGGAAATATTATGAATAACTGAATTCCGAATATCTTCCTTACCTTCAAATAAATAAATCATGAAAGTAAATGCAAATTTGGATGAACATTTTCAAATATGATTATCGTAAAGGTGTTTGATATAAACCGATCAGAAATCGCGGTTTTTTGCTACAACAACTATAAAATAATTATTTCATATAATTATATTATAATTTGTATACAATATTATCTACACCAACATTCATACACAGCATTACGAATATAATCCTGTTAAATCATATAATTTTATCAGTTTGTTTACAGCAAATTTAATCGAATTGATTTTTAACTTTACTCTATTGGTGCAGGTAAAATATATTTCATAGCTATCTATTAATTTATAGTAATTACATTTTGACACTAATCCAATAACGTTCAATACACGTATAATACTATTGAATGTAATTAATTCAAAATCTGTTTGTTCAAAAATTATGGCACGATTCCCAGCATAAAATGGGAAGCGTTAAACGTTTCTGCGAAACACCACACTTTTGAATATCATTTTTCAATTTTCCATTAGCGCGTAAGACCTCAATTTATTTTTTCCTCGCAATATTAAAACCACGTTTTAAAATCATTTTATACATACCTACCCTTCGCGATTAAATCTGGAATGGAAAATTCATTATATGTAAATTCCTACATCAATAGATTATTAACAGATCCTTTAATGACAAGCTTGTGGCAACAACCGAGAAAAAGTAAACATTTACCAAAGAAAATATGAAAATGCTTTTAATCCCCGCTCCACGATTTTCCATTAAATTCTAAAAGGTGGATGGAATAGGAATATTGATGAAACCGAATTTCATTTTCATAAGAGATTATAATTGTTTGTATTTTAAAATAAATGAATATTTATTACAGTTTTCCGTTTGTAAATTGTCTCATCCTGCACCTTTTGTGAGTATATTGATATTTTATTACCTATATTTTTTACCTTTGTTATTACGGTTGTTGGTTTCTTAAAAAATAAAAAAAAACGTTGTTTTCTTCTCAGAAATAACAACATCAGAAAACAACGCAAAAAACAACGTAAGAAAACAATTCGTTCAACCAGAAACTTATATACTACTTCATTAGCAGAAAAGTTGTGTAAACAATAAAATGCTCATGGTTATTATTGGAAAAATAATTGGATGAATTACTTCCGATTTGTTGCTAATGAAGGCGCCTGTTCTGTAAAGGATCTTAAAACATTTAATAAAATAAATAGACAGCAATAGAGATATTTATTTTATCATTCGTAGTATTAACTTGACAGTACAAAGGTTTTATTGTCTGCCTGGAATTTTCATAGCTAATTACCATTACTTTTGTCTTCTCTTTATCGATTGTCAGTGCATATACCGCAGAACAGTCTAGCATCTGCATAATTTGTAAAAGCAAGAAAACCGTGTAAATCGAGGGGCTTTGTCCCACTTTTTTTAATCACTATGGATTCAAGCTGCAACGAATTCATTTTGAGCAGAAACTAATGAAAAATTAAAGACCTGGAAAAAATAGTTTACGTTTTATGCCTTCAAAAATTGTCCAAAATTCCAGGTTTGAAAAATTAATTGAGTTATTGAGAACGAATTAATTAAAACGCCCGGTAAAGTTTGCGTATTTTATTTTTGTTTGTAAAGCATTTGCTGTTGTAAGTGTATACTGCACAAATTACGTTCCCTTTGTAGAATTTTCTCCTTTGATTATATAGATTGATAGGTACATTATCGATGAAAGCTTACGAGCTTCCTCGGGATGGCGCTTCAGAAATTGCATTAGGCTTTTTTTATTTTACAATTTACAAAAAAGTCGCATCTGAATATGAGAGTACTAAAATTGAAGCACTTGAAAATTATTAAGGTTGACATTTTTGACCAATTCCTTTTAGGTAAACAATTTCCCTTTTCCCTAAACTCTCGAATTTTGAGAGATGGTGCGCGAAAATATTTAACAAGTTTCACGTCCCCAATATAATGGGGTATTTCGTGTAAAGCTTCTAAAATACCATTTACCGCTGAAAGAGGTTGTCCTGGAAACCCACGACCCACGAATTCAGTAAAATGATTTTCTGGGTCGTATGTTTGTGCCAAATTATAAACATATTATCCGTCGGGAAAAGCAAGCTATACAAAAATGACCACTTTTCCGATTAAATATATTAAGTATTGTGCAAAACGTTGCCGAAAATAGATACACAAGCACTGGCGGTTTGTTTTGTAATATTTACGATATAAATAAAAATTCTAATTTTTGTTTGTTAAACCATTAATATTTCTATTTTTATTATAAAACGTAGATTGACTTTTAAAAATTATGACTGTTACGGAGCTTATAGAGGCACACAATGCCATTGTAATGCCAGGATCTATTCGGGATAATACCAGGATAATGCTCGAGGATATTTCGTCATATTTATAATATGTATTCTACTATCACAACTTCAAATTTCTTCAAATAGTGTTTTCGAATTTATGTTGCCCATAAAAATAGCTTAATACATAATTTTCTTAATCAAGCATGCTCGGCTGGTAATTAATGAACGAAATAGATACTAATTTTTATATTAGACTTTTAAAATGGATTAACGAACTTTATAGTACTTAGTATAATTTTAATTAACATTTGATTAGGGTTGGCGGTTAACGATTAAGCGCGGTTAAAATATTCATTTAGTGTATCCTTATTTAATTAAAAAATATTTATGAGTCTTTTAAACGTTTTTTCGATAGACTGCTTTAACCGAAATACTTCGGAAGGTTTTCAATTTGCATTTTGACAACCTTTTTCCATGGCCGAGGGCATGGGAAATTTGGTTTATAGATAGGAGGGAATGTGAAAAATAAATTAAATTATCTTGAAATGTTGTTAATGTGAGTGAATAAACGATAAAATCAATAGTGGATTGAACTAATTTGTAGAACCAAAGTGGAGAATATAATTATGATAAAGGACGAGAATGTCCAACGGTTATTTTTTTTTCGGGTTTCGGTTTCAGTTGGGTTGAATTAAATTCTTTCGGTTCGGTTTCGGTTTCCCTTTACCAAAATCATCTACATAAATATTTTTCTGAACAAAATGGGGTGTTTCTCGACTTTGATGCATTAGATAATTACATATACATAATCTTAATTAATAATTTAAGTTATAATTAAACGTTTAATACGGAAACTTTGTATGTATGTACGTTTCCTATAAACTCAAAAACTACTGAAACCAATCAACGTGAAATTTTGCACACACACCCTTGAAGGACGAAGAGTGATATAGGGGTATTGAATCTTGGAAATTCAGTCCCTAAAGGGGCGGAAGGGGCAATAAGTTTGAATTGCTTGGTTTGTAGCAATTTCGACTTTGTACACACGTTTGCATATACCTAAGTCGATGCTAAATTTCACGTTCATGTTTCGACGTTTTTGGAAATTCAGCCTCTTGCTACTGGGAAATGGTTATTGAGAAATAGCAACATACGAATATTCCCAAGTAAACAAATAAATTAAATAATTTTAAATGGTACAAAATTCGATATTTGAAATTTAGGGAAAGTTTGAGATGTGTTGAATACAGAATAAATGTAATGTAAATTTACTGATGAATGAAATATTAATCAAAAGATTTATAATAAGCAACTTATTGAAAATGAAAAGTCGAATTATGAATGTAAACGGCTTTAAATTGTATAATCGAATTCACATGAATTAATTTTCTGACTGAATGAGTGATTAAACATAAAGGCTACTTTGTACGTAACTCCTTTAGCGAATTTAGAGTAAAGAGTAGAATAATTGATTCAAATGCGAAACATATTAAACGCTCCTAATTTGTAAGGCTATTTACTGTCTAATCTCATTATATTCAATTTAGATGATTAGAAAATAAATAAAATGTGTATTAAATACGAGTAGAAATGTATTTTATTGTTAAATTGCATGCCGGCGTTTAAAATTTTATTTTTACTTCAATCGACGGCAAACGTGACTCGCGGCCAAGAATTCACATAGATAGCACTCATCTTTGATTGCAGCGAGTGTCATTTGGCCGGCACTGCCAAATTGAATAAGTTTCGGGTTAAATGTGGTTTTGCCTGAGAAATTAAGTTAGTGTCAATTTTTTCGCGAAAAGAGGGAATTCCATATTTTCCAGGACTAGCAAATTTTACGAGTAACACAAACAGAGAGCTCTATTCGATCGTCGGCGCAGTGTGGAAACAGTGGATCAATATGATCCGCCGTTTCCCCCTTACCGCAAATTCAGCTGCTACGCGTCTCCAGCACGAGCACCGTTTTTCGTACTAGGCATTATACTCTCAACCCTGTGGTAGCCCGGACGGGTAGTGTACTTGTGAATGTTGGTGACAGACAACCTATAAACCTATGTTTCCTATGGACTCATTCACTTTCGGTGAATTAAATTTCACCTAATTTTGAATTTGCTTTCTAAGTAAAACGTTTTAAAATTTTTATTTTTTTTTGTTTTCAAGTGATGTTAATTAATACAATGAGAGTACACACCCTTTTTGCACTTTTTATCCACGTTACCCACTTTTCATTGTAAGTTTTTGTAATACTATCTACCCGGAATTTTTATTCCAACAAAAAAAAATGTGTAATCAATTTTTTACTCGAAGGGGTAAGTGGATGAAATTTTAGCTATCATTTAACCACCAAGAAAATGTAGTTATGCTAATGTAGAATTTCGTAAAATAATTATCAAAAACCGCATACAGGCGCATCACGCAGAAGAACTTTCCAAACTAAATCAACGCTGGTAAGTCGTAGTGCTTCCAATTCAATCATCACAAACTCGCAAAACTTTTGTTCAAACCCAAATAATTTAGTTTCCCTAAAATATGGAATTTAATTTCAGTCTGCATGCTGTAAGGTCAACGGCCGAGATATATTAAACAAATCAACAATGAACAGACACGGACTACACGCAGGAATTTTCCCGACAGGGAAATTCAACGATCGCGCTTTCACCCTTTCAACCGGTTATTTCAATTTGCCGACGATCAAAAATCATTTATTATTCAAACTCAATCGTTTTTATTGATATCCCCGAACAAATGAACCCCCAAAATTAGAACACGCATTCACTAAATCAATGAAATGTTGTGAATTATTAGACCATTTCAATTTTCCAATGAAATAATTATAATTACAAGCGTATATAATTTTTAATTTCATTCCTCTCTACCATTAATTTCGACTACTTTACATAAGCAAATTATAAAGAAATATTCTTCGTAAAATTTTCTTCATTTAGAGTGCATTTTCTTTTCACTCGATTCGATCTATAGCAAACTGAGTATCACATTTAACATTTTCCTCAACCATTTTCTTGATAATCTACCTAGTAAGTGCTTTAGTTTCGAAATTTCCTGTCGAATCCGCCAACATTTTAAGTTTAATTATTTTCCGAAAACAAATTCTTGGTTGGAAAATATACGACTGAATACCACTCTGTTAAACAAATCCCCGTAAAAGATGCAAACTGGGAAAATTGGGAATCACTTTCAAGTGTGCCGTAAGCTTCGTAGTAATCAGTTTATTTTCTTTTTTAATTTCATCGGACGGATTTGATTTCCAGATTTTATAAGAAATATACATCGAAATTCATTTATTTAAGCGAATATTGGATCAGAGTGCAATAGAATGATATTTTTTAAAAGAAAATTGGTTCAATATTTTCATTTTCATTGTCTTTTGCCGAACTATATCGGTTAATAGCGAGTTTTTCATTTTTGTTAACATTATTTACAAAGTATTTTAGTAAATTGATTAATTCTGATTCGAAATAAGCCTTTTATTTTACTATTGACATCCAGCATATTTACTATTTTAGCCAACTTAATCGAAATGATTAAAAGGTAAACACGTCCCGATGAAATTAATTACAAGTAAAATTTAATTCCATTTTGTTCAAGCTATTTTCACGTCACAATGATTCCAACTCGATATTCGTATAATACGTACTGGTCAATATCGGTTAAATACACAACAACGTATTCACAATTTATTTACCTAGTATTTCTGATTTTTTCAATAAAATTGCGGACATAAAAAAGCAAAAACCAATTTTCGTAGTTGTTGATGCAGCAAATCTCTCCCGTATTCATTAACTCTCCAATCAATAATTGCCCCAGGCTTGTGTCTGCAAAACCCATTTAAAGACTAAAATATTTTCGATTTGGTTATTTCCGACGTCTCGAGTTTCTCTTTCGCACCAAACAACTCATTCCTAAATCATTCCGTAATTTACATCATTATTTCATGGCAAAATTAAAACCGACCTACGAGAATTATTTCATAATTGCGAAAGTGGTATTTTCTTGACAGGAATGAACAATAAAGCGGAAGGGAAATTATCGAGGAAACACTTGAAGTTTATTTTAATCAACACTTCGCATATTTGAAATTTATTGTCGAAGGAATAGTAAATTGAAAATGTCAGTAGTTGGTGGTTATAATTCTCGACGTTTATTATGGATTTTAATTGCTCACATTACGAATTTTATTTTAAACAGCTAAAATTTCATTTACGCATAGTAGATATACAGAAGAACCAAATTTTTACCAATAATTGATTTTGCTTAGTTAGTTTTCGATTAATCTTGATTAAACCCATTCAATATATATTCACCCTCAAATCAATTCCTTTTAATGTAGTTTACTATTCATCTTGTGTCATTAATTTACACATGATCGTATTTATTGTCGGAACGTTTTCGTTTCAAAATTCACATCACGTTTACCTAAAGACAATTATTGCAGTCGACGAGCTGCAAATCAATCTGTTTGATTTTGAGTCGATGATTTGCTCGTTGCTTTGAGTATCGCATTTCGCGTTTTAATTACCTCTGTCGAAGAAAATAAGATTACGGAAAACACCCTTAATATTGAATTTTAATCATTTATAAATCATGTAGTAGAGGAATTTGCTCGTAATTGATTTATAAGGGATTTTTGTATCAATTTACAACAATAAATTGGTATAGATAATAAGCTTATTCGTATATAAGAATATAATGTTTCTTATTAGGCCAATTGTACAGATAAATTGAATGTGATTACATAATTTAGTTTCGCAGAAACGAGAGCAATTTTCGCTGCTGATTGGATTTATTTTAAAACTTGTTACTAACAACAGCAATGTGCATAGATTATATACTTCCTTTTTATTTTTGCTTTACTTAGTAGTTTTCAAATTTCAAACACCTACAATATAACATATATTGAATTGATTTTAGTCAATTATGAACAGGGATTTTCAAATTCAATATCCATTAAACATGTGTAATTTAACAACTTAATCACTTCGCGTATAGGTTTATCTGTCGCGAATGAAATTAAATGGTGAATAATTTAAGTAACAAGTTAAGACCTGCTTCGAAATATGTCTTGTTATTACCGGCAACAAGAGCATCAACTTCTAAACTGGCTTCAATGTATCAAAATATCTTCTATAAAATTGCCGTTAAGGCTTAATATGACTAATCCTCCAATTTAAAAGCTTCAACTTTCATCATTATTTCTATGTTTTAAAAGCATACTTCAAAAAGGACCTTATTATTTGGTAGCTTCCGTATGTATTCTAGAAAAGCTCTTGAGTTCAACAATAATATGGAAACCCGGCTATAATTTTGTATATACATATTATTTTCAACGTATACTATAAATAGAAAAATGAATGTTAAGTTAAGGCCAATTAGAAGAGGAATAGGCATATTATCGCCAAACAGAGAGGAGGATAAATTGGGAGAAATAAGTTACCCCTAGTTTTCAACTTAATTAAAGTATTCCAAAGTTAAATAGAAATGTCAAATCCAGCAGTAATAAGTTTGAATAGAATCGAACAATAGAATAATTTGAAATTTGCTTTCCGTCAAAAGTTAAAATACGTTAGTTAAGTGAGTATTTACAACAATATATAGCGCATTAATCCCACTTAGGTTCGTTATTAGAGAAGTTAAGCGAGATGTGCATACTCAGAATTTAAACTCTTTTTGTAAGTAATAAATATTTTGTGGTTCTTCTGAATAATTCTACCTCCCGAATTCTACCTCAAATCAAATATCACGATGATCGTGATAAAAGATTAAATTAATAAAGTGCTTTATTTGTAGTTGTACAAGTGTTAAAATTAATTTCCGAGAAAAAGAAAAAGAAGTACTGGATCAGATCCTAGGACCGGGCCGATATGATGCGAGAATACGACCATCGGGTGTAAACGGCACAGGTAAGTGTTCACTTAGTTGTTAAGGGCGTTATTTTTGATGTAGGGAGACCAGAGAACATCCACATACCAGAGATGCCACTGTAACTTGTTTGCTTGTTGTACATATATGTAAATGTAACACAAAATAATCATCACTCTAGATGGGCCTGCCATAGTCCAGGTAAACCTGTTTGTGCGCAGCATAGCAACCATAAGCGACATCAAGATGGTAAGTGGAGGCCCCATGATTTTTGTAGGATAGTGTAGAGGTGCTCCACGTGCTACACGAGCCGGCATGGGGTGGCAGCAATTGGTGATGCGATTTAGCGAATAACATCAATTCTTTCCACGTAAAAAGAAGTAAATAGAAATCGATTACAATTGGTAGAAGTATTTCATCTACTAAAATTACTGGCATTTACTAAGCATATATTTCCAATGTAAATCGATGTAATATCGCGCTGTAAAGGTCATTGGTTTATTGACTAAAAGGAGATTTTCACACGCCTATAATTCTTCCATCGTTCAAACCGGAGTTGGATTGAACGTATCCCGAAGGAAGCGAGTTTGCCAGATTCAAATATCATCATCTTAACTCCTGGAAAATTGTTAGGTATTTCGAACTTTTTGCTTAAAAAGCCCATATTACATTATCCACTCTTCCAAAATATATCTTAAAACTTAAAAATTCTATGAAATTTTCTTTCTTCGGCGTAGCGTTTGTTTTGAAATCTAAGATACGTATAGCTTGAAGATATATTCAGTACTTTTTATTACTTCATATTGACCAATTTTTCACTTGTTATATTAAGCTTGAAGATCAAATTTTAGTTGTTTGTTTGGGTGTAGTAGCGATCGTAAAACTTAATTTTTCAGATGTCTATTATTCTAAAATTCTTCTATTTTTAAAAGAGCCACATTAATCATTACGACATATGTTCCAAAGTCTTTGAAATGAAATATAGGTACTTAATTCGTGAAAATTTATATCTTTTAAATGAGAATGATATTAACGAAATATTGCTTAAATTACAATAAAAACTATGTAGTGTATATATGTAATCGTCTCATTAATTTGCAAATAATTGTGAAGTTTACATCAATAATTAAGAAGATTAACACTTCTCTTGCTTAATAGCAGTTTATTTTTAAAGAAGTTCTAAGGAAGAGGTATTTTTTGGTTTATTTATGTGTCATTATTACCTTCATCAGATGGAGAGTCTGCCAAGAAAATTGGCCAGTAAAATTTTATTCTATCACGAAATATGACAAACAACTTTTGTTCCGAGATAAAAATAATATGATTCAGCAGGTTTTGAGCTAATAGCTACATACATATTTGATTTAACATACATCCCCTTATTCTAAGTTTTCAATGACAATATTTTTTACCAGTTTTGAATCTTTTCGCGGCAACTGGAACAGAATGATAAATTGATATTTTAACGATTGATCTCTTTCCTTCTTTAAAAAAAATATTACGTTATTTGAATAATTATAAATGAATAGTGACAGGCTTAATAATTTGAATATTTCTATCCTCAACCCGATGAAATTTGCAAAATAGATAGTAAAAACTGAAAAAAGAATATTTAAAATTTTTACTAAATATTAAATACAAAAGCTTAATTATTTTTTCTATATTTTCCTAGATATATTTTTATTTATAGTCCATATGTTACTCTAAAAGTTTTACGGTATTTTAATTCCCCTGATTCTTGATGCCCAATAGAATACCAGTTGATATGTTAAAATTTAATTCAAATGAATAGTCATTTAAATAATTCAATCCTATTTCATTATTTTCGTCAGCTAAGTTACGTGCTTTAATATTTGATATTTCTGTGTTATATCCATCATGCAAATGCTATAAAATTCAATTGCTAATTCAATGGACTTTTTAATGACATTAATTCAACTCAATTATTAATCCCGTAGATAAAAAATCAAAAACAGCTTTATATCTACATGCAAAAATCCTTTTGAATTTAAAAAAAAAAAATACTGTTTCCGACAATAAATAAACTTTTATCTGAAATAGGCTTTTCAACAATGTTTTAGGAATATTAATTGCCGTGTTACCTAATAAAATAATTATCGCCCACAATTAGATTTAGTAGGTATAAAAATATCCGTTTAATTCAGTCCAATGCACACGTTGTAGTACGGTTATAAGTGGAGAGTAGGTAATCCTGGTAATTATAGAACATCCATAATTATTCACCCGAACGTAATGCTTGTTGTAATTCAATTGATCGAAAACATTCCGGATTTCCCTTAAGTGCCAATTCAAACGTTTCTCATTTGATTTTGAAAATAAAAATTACTATTTCATCGTAATTTAAACAATTTAGCCGGATAAAAAAGTATAGCGGATAAAATGTTCGTACTAATTGGCCTCCCCGATTCCTTCGCAATTTAAATAGCAGATCAGCTATTCAAAGATGCAAGCAAAACATTTCAAATTACGGAAAACTGCGGGATACGGAAGATAAACAGTCCATTTAAGTATAATTACTTTGATTACAGGGATTAAATAACGTTTATAGTATCTATTATTTCACAGCAAGTAATTTTCTTACACTTTCTGATTTTATCAGTTTAAATGGATAGCTAGAGTAATTGAATTATGAAAAAATTCGTGCCATTTATTTGTGGAATGTTTTAGTTTAATATTTCTACCAATTTAATATGTATTGATTATGTGGTATTATGAGGTATATCAGTTTAAAAATTATTTTTAATTTTTAATTTTTAATTGATATTTGAATTACTGCGGATGTTTGACGGATGTTAGTGATTTTATTATTAGCCGTAATTCAAATATCGTGACTTGGTTCGATAATATTCGAAGAAGAAGTAGTTATTTAAGGAATATGTACGCGATGAAAGGGAAAGAATTGTTGTTTGATTTTGACGATAATCTCCAATCGTTGGCCCCGTCTAGCTTGTAGGATAGGGTTTGATTGCTGAATGCTGATTTTCCGAGTTGGCTAGGGCCTAGGGCCTAGGGCACAGCAAGGTGCCGACGCAAGTGCGGGTGCAGGTGCCTCATTGCCATTGCATCGATCGTCTAGCATTGATCGATAGCTCCGGTGATGATGTTCACTAATTAAGCCGTTTTTGTTTCTTTAATCGCTAGATGGCCCGGCAATTGTCGTTGTCAACATATTTGTGAGAAGTATCTCTAAGATAGATGACGTGACAATGGTAAGTGGTATGGATCAGGGAATGGAACATCTCTGTTTGTGTAGTCTTGGTTGGTAGTATAGTTTTCTATTCAGAGATGTGATTCGAGGACGAGTGCCGGATTTCCTCCGGAGCCGTTACCTGCGTGCTGCGTGTGATGCTTTCCGTGTGTTGTGGGTAGCGGGCGACGAGCCGCGTGCTGCATGCAGGATGGCCAATACGAGATGTGATTGGCGTGGCCGTGGCCCGCACCGCTTCATGTATAAATTAAGGCTTATATTAAAATTTTTCACTTTTTTTCACACGCAGTAGGACAGACGGACGGGCCGACCATAGTAAACATCAACTTCTTTCTACGTTCTATCAGCAAAATAGATGATTATAAAATGGTGAGTGCGCGGTCTGCCAGTCATGTCGAGTATTGGATGATGGGTGTAAATGTATATCAACTGTGTTGCAATTACTGTATTTTATCCGGCCATTGCCATTGCATTCACTTGCACTGGGCCAACAGCCAACTGCAATTCATGGTGAATGATTGGTGATGTTGCAATGAGGGCACCAGCACCAGCGCGAGCATGCAGATATTGTGGCGCTCGCTGTCGCTGCAGCCCCGGTGATTATACGCTCTGTAGATCACTTCTTATTCTCTCTCTCTCTCTATATAACCTATTTTTTGATTTTGTTGTTACTTTTGTTTTGTTTTTCTGTTTGCATGCCCTTTGCATGTATTCTTCTCTTCCTTTCTCTTTCCCTAGTACATCTCAATTAATATTTCCCTTGAGTTTTAATACTTGAGTGTGTCCCGGCATTTCAATGCAATACTGTACACATTAAATGCACCAACCAGTTTATAAATTCGAAAAGTTTTGTACTGCTTCTTGTATTTTTTTCTAACATTCTAATTACTTGGTAACGAATTTGAAATATACATTACAAAACATTAACAAAACAACTTAATTAATATTTTTAGTAAAAATAATTCTGTATATCCATTATTTTAATTATATACTGCATCGATTTAATCTAAAAGGTTCTGATGTAATTCCATTTTCAGCTTTTAACTAATGCTTTTCCATTTTCTATCAATTTAATCTGCAACATAATAAATCAACGTTATAACGAAATCAAATGGCGTTTTGTCCTAATTGTAGATAAAACTATCTTTAATGCATTATAATACAATTCAGAGAGCTATTCAATTTTTCATATTGAAAGCTTTCCCGTTCTGTTTACGCACAGCGATTAACTTTTTCCCGGCAATCCACAGATTCGATATTATGTCAATAAAATAATGACCTCTGTAATAACTGTCTATGATCTACACCAACTTTTAGGGTGTTACGCTCCTCTGGAGTATGTAATTACCGGCACGCAAAGGGATTCTAAATTTAGACACAAGGAATATGATATTCAATATTAGAATTCTCCTCCTTGCTTTTATTTAACTTGCCAAATGGGAAAAGTTATGCGAAAGCGAATTAATTTTTGAGGTGCAAAGCCATGTAGAATATTAAATCATAAAGTTATAATCGACAAATTTGAACACTTCGATAATTAAATTTATTTTCATTTTAACTAAGAAGGTTTAAGTTTTTGCGTAAATTATTTTATTGAAATGAATAAAATGAATGGAATTGAATGGGTTGTGAACGAAAGATACGTCTTAATTTACTAATGTTTACACCAAAAGCAGACGAGCTTTACTTTGTATTTCTCGAGTATTTAATCAAAACAATCAAATATTTGATGAATTCAAGACGCCCTTCTCAAAAAGTTTTGAGTTGATAGTACTTACACAGAGAATCAACTAATTAAATATTTACAAATGTTCTGAATACTTACACCTTATTAATTTTTCAACGATATTTAGGAGTTAGAAATAATTTAAGACTTTCACTCCTTAAATTTAAAGTAGTAAAAAAAACAGTAATTAAACTTAAACGTATTTCTCTTTTACAAAGTAGTTATCAACATGGTGAAACGTTTTTAAAATTGTTTCTCAATTAGTTGAAGTTTGAAAAAATATCAAAAATTAAACTCGAATTATTACATTAATTTCGACATTTTAAAATGAATTCGAAAGGAGTTTCCACCGTAAATATACGGTTTTTCTTTTATTATTAACCGTAATAAGGAATTTATTTTAATCCGTTTTCTTCTTTTCTCAAATCCACTTTATACTTGAACTGGTTGGAAAATAACATGAACAATATAAAGTCCTTTTTTGTGCCGCTCAAATGAAATTCTCGCAATTGATGCAAAATTAAAAGCTTCCTTATTGTGTACCTTTTTCATTCGAACGAAAAAAAATTAGCCTCAAGGGAATATTTTAGCTGAGATTGACTATCACCGATTATTCTGTGCAATTTTAATGAAAAAACTTTTTAATGAAATAAAAACGTTTTCTGAAATGAAATTGTTCCAATCAAGAAATGAAAAAGAAACTGGGAATTCTTTCGACCGCGTTTAATACTTTGGTTTCCAAAAAAAAAAGCGTTGGATAAATATGCACAGAAATTCGGAAAAATAGCGTATATCACCTACCGCAATCACTCTATCACTGATCACAAAATATGTATGTCTGCTTACAACTACTACAAACAATAACAAGAACGACTAATATATTAAATCTTCCTCTAATCTGATCAATAATTCGTTAAATTGAAAACCTTGGTTGATAAAAATATGATCACTTAAAATATGTTCTATTTGAAAGACTGTCAAACGTAAGTAACAAATTTTATTCGCAAAAATCTTTTACAACCTCAGGATGTTTTTTTATACTTCTTAAAAATAGATAAATTATTAAACCATGGAGGGCTGAATCAAGACATAAAATTTGTACGAACAAGTTTTTCCGACAACCTTTTAAAATTTTTATTCAATTTTCTTTTTATTCTTATTATTTTTATGTTTACGAGCGGTTCGCTCAACATTCCCAGCCCTTTTGAAATAATCATTTTCATCTTTTATTTGCTATATGAGATGGAGAATGTACAAGTGTCATTTATTATTTCTACTATTGCTCGTTCATTCTTTACTACTGCACAATTTTATACTGTTGAATTCGCTTCGTGATGCATTTTTCCATGAAATGTATTTACTTTTTACTCTATTTCACAAGTATTCATTTTATCGCAGATGGAAAGATGCACATTTTATTACAATTCTTTAAAGTTCTTAAGGAACTGTTGCAATTTGTCTGTTGATTCATATACATACAATGTAATCTCAAAGCATCCAAACCTAATATTTCATTCGTAATTATAAAAGCGATAACTTTCAACATTTTATTCAGTGATGAAATTATTAAAAATCTCGTTATTCTTTTGATATCCAATCCACTCCCGTCCATCAGCAGCCTATTCTTACAAACTGATGAAAATTCCATCGGTTTGGGACTAAAATTAGCATCCCATGCATTTTGAATTCCCCTCGACCTTCTGGGATCTCATTAAATATTTCTACTGAGTACAAATTAAATAATAATGAAGAGCACACAACCTAGTTACACCCTTCTGCGGAGTGAAACGCATTCAATATTAATGATTTGTGTTCATGTAGCTATTTACTCTGAAATTTTGCTTATCGTATTCATTTTATAACAATAGATGATTTCCTAACTTATTGAATGCACCTATAGTTAAAAAATAAATGAAAATTGAGTTTAATTTGAGATTGGGGAAATGTATAGCTTTAGGAATAGAAAATTAATAAAGTAAAATAACCGGAAAGCTTGATTGCATCCTCTTGTTTCTTATTACTTTATGCTAACTATACCAATCTGAATGCAATGCATTGTTGATTACATTCTTGTTGTCCATTTTGGATTGTTAACACTTTCATCGTGTTCAATTTCATTTTGCACCTACTATGTATGTGAATTCGTTAATCATACAAATATCATAAGTAGCAATAAACAGGCACACGCACTTAGTACTATGTAGTTGTTAAATTAAAGAAATATCTTTTTATTGACTTTCAGAATAAAAGAAAAATCCTATGTCAAAGTAATTTTGTAGCTCTCTCAATTATAATCCTACCCACTTCCAGCCTTAATCTAAGTCTCTGGATCTTCTAAACGGTTAATCCATTTTTTTCTATGCTTTTACCAATATAATCTTTCTTGATTGCATTTCTTATACTTATACTCTTGTAATATTTTCAATTAATTCTGAAAGAATTCTGTGGGATAACTAATCTCCATTCCTCTTAATTCTAAGGTAGCCCCTCAAAGATAGTAACAAAGGAATTGGATACTTTTGTTATGAAATCGAAGTGAAATTTCTCCGTTGCGGCATTTTAAGCTCTTGTTAAGACAGAATTTTAATCAATTTCGTTCCATGTATTAGAAAATTACAATCTAATTAACTAAATGTAGCAAGAATAATTATTCGTATTGTCTAAAGTTAATGATAATTTAACTTTTCAATCCAATTACCTAAGTAAAACTCTAGATACGGCTTGTGTAAACAATTTTACATTTAACTAAAATCACATAGCAACTTACTTTGTAATTTGCAATGGCAAATAATATGTGGGTACGAATATACTCCAGGAAAATTATTTTCCATTTTATATAAAGTACTCTTTGTGAATTTTGATATGCTTTGAGTTGTAATAAGTACCTTTAAATTTACTTTTTATCAACCAAGGAACATTTTGGAATTTTGCCTTTCGAGAAGTTGTTTATTTTTATAACTTTATTCGAAAATTGGAAAACATAAAAAGTTTAATACTTCTCAATTCGGCCATTCAAAAGAAATTGAATATTTTAAAAAGTATGTACTGTGTTTGTAAAATCGTATTTCTTTCATTCTTATTTTGTAACGAACCTTTGAAATTCATAAGTACTTAAGGCGATTAAATGTTTCGCTTTCAAAATAATTCAAAAGCCTTATAGGTAGGCCTAATAACGTTCTGTAAAAAATATGCTTTTTACTCGTGACATTTTAGAAATAACGCTGCATGAGCATTATACTTGGTGTATTTAAAACTGTAAATAATTTGTAACTGCGTGTATAATTTATGTACTCCATATACATATAAATCAAATCCCCAAAGTTATGCATAGGTTCTCTATAATTCTGGTTAAATTGCAATCTCTATTTTGGAAATAACCAAATTGTTATTTATCGAAAAGTTACAGTAAAAAGACTATAGGTATTTAGTTTAATCCCTTGTTGTACATAATTCCTCTTTAATTTCAACAAATGCATTATTTTCGGGAATATTTTATTAAATCCATGAAATTTAAAACACGTAATTGAAAGTTAGATATGGTAAGAAAATCCATTGATCCTAATACTAAAAAAAATATCTCCTTTTACTAACTTCTTACCTAATTATTTATACATACTTGGTTCCCTTTTCCTATTGTCCTAAT